GCGCGGTCTGGATTGCAGGCTGGCGGCGGCTGAGATGGGCGTGGACTTCCCTGCGAATAGGTCCAGTAACTTGCGTGCCTGTGCGGGCGGATTGTCGTGAGGTCTGCTGCCCGCAGTTTGCGGGGTATCCGCAGGGCGTTTCCAGGTAATGTTCGGAAAGAAGGCTGTGCGAGGTCTGGCCTCTGTCGTGCGGAGGCTGTCAGGCACTGCGAGAGCTGTGTGCTGGGTAGGCGGTATGCTGTGTGGCCTCAGGGACATGTCTGCTGCAGGCTTGGCAGGCGATTGGTGCTTGGCCTGAGGCAGCTGGGGGCTGGGAGCCCGAAGGGCCGAGGCTTCCGACGTGGGCGGGAGCTGCGGGTCCGGCATGGGGAGTGGTGGTCCCAGTTGTCGGGGACGGTCCGGGCCCGCCACTGGGGGTGCGAGGCCCGGACTGTTTCAAGTCCTGGGCTTGCCGTGCTCATTGGCGGGGTGCTTTTGGGCACACCCTCGAACTGCACACACGTGGGCGAACTTGCACTCCTTGAGTTGGCATTGGCCGTTTTGATAGCGGCGGCAAATGGGCTGTCCCTTGTGCACGGCAACCCAGTTGGACGGAAGATTTGTAATCTTCCCTTTCCCCTTCCCCTTCTTAGGCGGTCTCTCTGCTCCCTTATCCACCTTGGGAGGCGGAGGGGGCGTGTTGGGCGACTTGCGCTTGTTGGGACTGTCGGCGTTCTTGCCTTGGCCCTTGGGCTGACCTTTGTCGGGCTGCATCTTTGGGCGTAGCTGCAGTAGGCTAGAGAGATCATTCCTGATGGAGGTGATCTCATGTAGGGCGTCATCGAGGCTCCATGATTGTGCGACCAGTTCCGACAGCGAGGCCCATATTTTCCTGTCGGCAGAGATGAGCTCGGCGGTTGTGGGCGTTCTTAGGCCTAGCTGTGCATCTGGTTGGTGCAGGCAAAGCTCCTTGACCTTTTTGTCAAGGGCCTTCAGGTTGTGCAGGTGTGCGGCCCCACAGAGGGCCCAGGCGTTGCGGAAGACAGTTTGGATCCTGTCTAACCAGGCTGCCGCCAGGCGCATATGCTCTACGGGCACTTCTGGGGTCTCATCAAAGAAGGCAGAGGCAATGATTTGGGCTTCTGTGCGTAAGGGCTTGGCAGTCTTGGCTTCCATGTGCTCCTGGTATTGGCGGGCGGATAGGCGAAATTGCCAAGGGATCCAACGGATCTTCTCCCCGGGCTTTAGGCTGTGGTGCACAAGGCTGAGTAGGCGGATGCTGGGCATACTGTCTTGATCTAGCAGTTCGCCTGGGTAATTTGCCTTGAATTTGTCCACCATATCCTGGACTATGTCTTGGGTTAGGCGTGGTGGCAGGTGCTCCATCCACTGTGAAGGCTGCGAAGGCATGATGGGCGTAGGCAGTTGGGTTGTGTTTGGCGTGGGCACTTGGGCGTCCCCCCGCTGGACCAGCTTGTGGCAGTTGTCCAGGGCGCGTCGTAGGCGGGCGATCTCCACAGAGGAGTCTAGGCCTCCTGGGCCGAGTTCTTGTGTGACTGCCTCAGGCAGGGCGTGTATGAAGGGATTGAGGGCTTCCACACACGGGAAGGCCCAGGCAAAGTCCGACATGGACTGGTACCCGCCATCCGAGATGGCGCTGCACAGCGAGGCGTGTACCCGACACTCCTTGAGCAAGTCTCGGAAGGCGTCTGGGCAGTCCATGGCGTGGAAGAAAGAGGAGCGGGGGTACGCGGTGATCTCGAGAGAATCTCAACGGCTGCGGTGTAGGCGTGCACCTGGGCGGGCAGGCAAGAGGGTGGGGGGGGGAAGGGGGTTGGCTCAACATGGATGCACTGCGGGCCGTTCCTGTTTTTACTCTGAAGGCAGGCTCTGGAAGGCGTCCAGGGCAAGACGGCAGGCTTTATGGCGGCACATCCTGGATGGGTCAGGCTCAGGCATTATGACCCCGGCGTCCCCCATGACTATCCCACAGGCGGTGCGCTGGTGAGTGTCTGAGATCGGATGGGCCAGATGTACTGCCCCCCAGTGTCCATTGGCGACGATTGCTGTCGCCGGGTCCAGGAGGGCTTTGGGGTGGCGAGGCTGTGGGGCTTTGTGTGGGCTGTCTTCCTCACTGGAGGAGTATGAGTCTTCGTCCAAGGTGGACTCATCGGAGGCATGTTTTGAGGCTGATTGTTCCCCGCTGGACCTGGAGGGTGAAGGCGAGGAGGGCTCGTTGGCGTCGTCATCAATGGCGGCCTGGGCCTCAAACTCACGCGCGTACATGAATCTGGGAATGATGGGCAGCATGTGACTGATTGTCATCGATTTGGGCACAGGGCCCGGCGGCACCTGAAAGCTGGGCTCTATGGTGGGGGCTTGTCCCCCGCGGGCTATTGGGCGAGTGGGCCTCCAGCCTGTGGAAACATTGTGGGCCACCGAGGCCTGTACCCATAGGCTGTCGATTGTGTCGTCCCTCCCGTACAACTCGGAGCTGACCTTGTGGTGGCCCGCCTTCCGGCGCGGGTCGGCAGGCAGCCTGAGTTGCTTGGCTGGGCTAAGAAGCCCCACTTTGAGGCCGTGTAGGGTGAAGTTAAGTGCTTCCTGGGCGTCGAGGGCTGTCGAGGCTTCTTCGTGGAGCTGCAGCGCAGAGCGCAGTGCTGGCAAAGCCTGGGTGTAGGACATGGGCGATTGGAATGCAACCCCGGCTTGAGATGGGTTGGCCCAATTTGGCAGGATGGGCAGCATGAAGTCCGGTTCGGATGAAGAGCCCCAAAAGCGTTCCGTTGCGAGCCAAGAGGCGTGTAGGCGTGTGAGGTAGGCTAGGCACCAAGAGGTCGAAGGCCCTCTTCCTGATATGCCGGTCAGGGTTACTGCAAAAGGTTGTCCCGACCTGGAGGTTTTGGTCGTCCAACAAATTCCCCGGAGGGCCTGCGTTGTCAGGCTGAGGCTGCTTAGGCGAATGCGTTGTAGGTCGCCGAATCGTAGGCATGCGTGGTAGGCCAAAAGGAAGGCTCCGAGCAGTAGGACCATTTGGGTACCGGTGGAAGATTTGCAAACGAGGCGTTCCCATGACACGATGCATGCCATGGGAATGGGCAGGGCTTCTTTGCGATCTCTGGGCTTAATGTCGATTCTGTAGGTTGAAATGAGTGGATTGCTGAGTAGCTCCAGCAGGTGTTGCACCTGAGCCATGCGCGATAGCCAAGACAGGGCTTTAAGGGTTGTCTTGGGCGAGATTTGGCACACGTCCCTGTCTTGGGCAAGGGAGGCGAAGGCGGCCTCGAGGTAGTCGGCGAGCTCCACCAGGGATAGCGTTGAAAAGGCTATGTTGTGTGCCTGCAGAAAGTCTAAGAATCTGGTGCATCTGGACAGGTAGGCCTCGAGGCTGGAGGCAGCGTAGGCTGAAATGGCTCGGACCCGAAGTCTTTCAGGCGTGAGAGATTGGGTCGTCTCCGTCCAGAGGGAGCTGGTGTCCCTCAGCTTGTCCAGGAGGAGCAGCCAAATTCGGTTGCACTCTAGTTTGCGAGCATCTTCTTTGGCAAGCATCGTTTGAAGGCGAGGTGGCCCCGAACGTTGTTGGTGAACGATTGGCTCTTGGCGCTTCGATGGTGCTTCGATTTCAGGCGTAGAGGAGCTGGCGGGGTTAGGCGTTGCCGGCGGCTGAGCCGGTAGAGGCTTAGGCTTATTCAGGTAGGCACTAGCGGGAGCAGGCTTAGGGGGGGGCTTGGGCAGCGGAGCCGTGGCATGCCAGCATGTCTGAAATTTCTTGGGGCATGCCGGAGGAGCTGGGCCTCCAAGCGTGCGAACAGTGTGTTTCGGAACGGGCCCCGAGCGTGGGGACTTGCACAATGGCTGTGGCCAGGCGGACAGGGGCAGGAGCAGGGAGGCTGTGCTATGCGGTGCTTGCACCGGGCGTCTTCCACGCATTTTAGGCACCGGCTTGGGCAGATGCTGGGACAGATTTGTGACTGAGATGGCGGCCCTTGTGCAGGGCTGAAAACCCGGAATGACCGATTCCGCCCCGAGCACCTCCCAGGAGGGAGAGGAGTCGGAGGCCGGCCCAGGCGTGCTGACTTGCTGCGGGGGGCAAGCGTGCGATGAGGCCTCATTTTCTGGGGACCAGTCCTCGATGGGGTCGGGTCCAGTGCTTGAGGGAGCTTGTTGTGGGTCCCAGTCCTCGATCGGGTCGAGGTCGGGCTCGATCTCGGAAAGGAGATCGATAGAGAGTCCCGGCAGGGAGGCTGGGGAGGGCGGGTTAGGGCTTAAATCCCCACTATTAGGTAGCCTGGGCTTCTTTCGACTAGGAGTGGGGCTCCAGTCGACACGTGGCTTGTGGCCTGGAAACATGTTTTTGGTGGTTTGAGTAAAATGGCTGCAGAGAGGGTGGCTCACAGAATGCTGATGATGGGCGCTCCTTGCATGTGGAGGCGTTACTGAAAGCGGCAATCCTGTGCAAGAAGCTGACCTAGGCACCAGCAGAGAAGCGGGCAGGAGGCTTTTCTCGGTGTGTGAAGAGACAGGGCTTCGGCTGCATCTCGAAGGGCTCGATGGTGGGCACCTGCATCAGGTAAGCATGGGAGCTAAACAAGGCCAACAGGTCGCATGTGTAAACATGGTTCTGCAGTTGGCATACTCTTCTTTTCTCCCCTATTCGGGCCGGCGGCGGATGCAAAACAAGGCCCGATTCTTGGGTCGGGAATGGGCAAGGGCTGCTAGGCTTGGGCACGCTGGGCGGCAAGGCATAGGCGATGCCATTAGGGAAAATGCTGGCGTGTTGCCAGGGCTTTAAGGCGCGTAGGCATGGAACCAGCCCCATGGGTCTTCGTGGGCTCTGCGAAACTCCACGCAGCGGCTGCACAGGTGATCCAAATGCTCACTGTCGGTGTCCGACATAATCTGTGCACACACGAGGCCGAAGGGGCAGTGTGGGCGTGTTGAGCATGGGCGCATGCATCGTAGGCGTTCTCGATGGTCCACGTAGAAGACCTTGAGAAGGTGGGGCGCCAGATTGAAAGTATCTAGCGTCTATCGGCGTTGGGCGTAATCAGCAAGTGTGGGCAGGGCATGGACCTGGCACTGGTTGCCTTGGGCCGGAAGTCCCCTCCTGTGCGCAGTGGGTTCGGGAAGGGGTTGCGGAGGCCTCGATCCGAGGAGTCTTGCCCTAGGCCGAGTAGGTCCGTGAAGTCATCCTGGGTCTGGGCGTTCTGCGAGTCCGTCTGCTCTTGGGCAGTGGGAGGCGAGGTGTTGGCTTCCTGGGCTGGGGCCGACTGCGGCTGTGTAGGCGGTGGGCTGATAATGGAGAAAGGCACCACTGGGCCCGCGACAAATTGCGGGGCCCAAATGTTGAACCCCAAGGAGCGCACTTCCTGGGCTCGGGGGTCTCCCTGGTCGGCATGGGCGACTAGGCTGGCGTAGTCGGCTTCTGTGATGTGCACCCGACCCCTCTGGTCCTTCCTGAGGATCCAGCCATCCGCTCCGAAGACGGAGCATTTGATCTTTTTGTGGGCCGGTTCTGGCTCCTGCGGCATAGGCGGCGGCGGGGCCTTGGTTCCCGGCGGCTGATGGGATTCTTGGGCCTGCTGAGGCGGTTGTGCGGGCGGTGGGCAGGAGGGAGGACCTTTGGGCTGGGCTGCCATGGGCTCTTCCTCGAGAGTGAACCAGAAGGAGTCCCAGTCCACCGAGACGGCATTGGCTGGCGGGTCCTGCCCCCAAAAGTTGTGCCAGGTCCTGCCCTCGTAGACCATGGTCATGCGAGGGTTGGGCTTGGTTGGCGAGGCCGATGGGCGGGCTTCTGGCTCAGGCGGAGCCTTGCTGGTGGGCTCGGAGGGCAAGCTCTGCCCCGGGCTGGGCGGGGTACTCTTGGCAGGAGGGTGGCGGCACCTGTGATTCTGCGGGTGCAGGTGCTTTGGGCTGCTTGGGTGGCCATGGGCTGACAATCTTGGGCATGGCAATAGGCACGCCCCCGAAACCTATGACCTCCTCGATCACAGGGCTGTCCTCGTCGCTGGAGCTAATGGGCAAGGGCCCTCTTGGATGTCGGCCCAGGCTGGGCGGGTCTCGGAGACCGAGGGCAGTGGGCCGGGCTGGGCAGATGGGCTTGTCTCGGCCTCTGTCGAGGGGAGCGTGTTGGCGATGTGCTTCACAAGCGCCTCAGGCACTTTGACTCCATCCTTTTTGAAAACTAGGCTGGGAATGACGCGGCCATCCCCATGGGCTCGGCGGATCTGGTCGGGCGACCAGGATAGGCCTTGGGCTGGGTCGATGAAGTCCCAATCTTTGCGTGTGAGGGCTTTCGCCTTTTGCCCGCAGCGGGTGGAGGCTGACTTCTTCATATCGGCTAGCTCGTCTGCGAGCAAGGACGAGGCTGAGGCATCCGGGGCTGGATTGGGCGTCGAGCCCGATTCAGGCGATTGGGCTTGGGCTTGGCCAGTGACCACCGGTGGCGGGGCCTTGGTGGGCAGTGTCTGTCCCGGGCATTGCCTGAACCCGAGGCGGGTTGAGGCTGTGTCTCCTGGGCAGGGGCACTGGCTAGGAGGCGGTCGCGGGCTTCGGGGCTGAGCTGGTTGAAGTAGGCCAGCAGCTTTCCCTGAATGTCGGCAGTGTCCATTCTGGGCGAGAGAATGGGCGAACACTGAATCTGGGGAGGCTTGAAGCTGTGAAAGCGGCGCTGAAAGCAACAAGGTATGGCTCCAGAGACCGCATGGGCAGGCATGTCCGTATGCAGAGAACAAGGCATGTGCGGCAACAACACTCACGAACGACTGCAAGAGCACATCCGGCCTTGAAGTCGTGCGAGAGAGGCAGGCAGAAAGTGCGTATTGGCCTGACAGTGAGGAAGTATGAACACCAACCGGTCAGCAACTCTCAGGGCGGTGTGCAGCTAGTAGGCAGAATAAGGTGGCAACTGGCAACCTCGATGTACATGAAGTCGATGCCGAGCTCGAAGGCGTAGGTACCTGCAGCAAAGGGCAGGATGGGCGGGTCCATGAACAATCAGTGCATGGGGGGGGGCACTAGGCAAGGCAGCGTGCGGCTCACAGGGCATTGGCGTAAGTCGGGTGCGACATGGCGGCGTGGGTCCCGGTAGGCACGTGCAAAGGATGGGCCGAGGAGGTGCTCACGCGAGGCACCGGCATGGGCTAGGCACCCACTGAGGCAGCGGTGCTTGTGCCCGATGAGATGCCATGGTCGGAGTAATCGTCCGAGTCAGGCATTGGCAGGCCTGCCAAGTACCAGCGGGCAGACCACCAGTCAATGACGTGGAATGAGCGGCGGTCTTGTGGGCTAATGTGGGCCCAGAGGCAGGCCAGTATGTTGCTGAGGCCAAAGAGGTGTCTGGTCTTACCACTATGGGCATGAGCGCCTGTGCGGGTAGACCATGTAGAGCAAACACGTGGGCATGGGCGCGTTGCAGTGCCGACATATGCAAGGCACACTGACGGCGGCATGTGCGGTTTTGATAGCGGGAGCAGAAGCTCTGCATGGGCACGGCGGAGAATTGGCGCTGTGCCGATCTGGGGCCAGCAGGCAGAGGGGGCAGTATGGAGCCAGCGTTAGACAGCAGGTGCTGTGGCGGCGGAGGCTTAGGCTTAGGCCGGGGTATGGGCGTGTTAGGGCCGGCAGGCGGGTTAGGGTTATTATTAGGCTGTGGCAGCGTTGGTGCTGTTGTAGGCGGTCTGACCTGGTGAGGCAGCCTGACCTGTGCAAGAGCGAAGCTGTGTGTGAAGGGCTCTTGTGAGGACGCTGAGGCGTCTGGGCATGTGTCACTGCTGTCCTCGGTGCCACTCCAATCCTGGACATTCCAGGGGCAGGGTTGGAAGGCTGGGCTTTTAGGCTGAGGGGGCATGGGCACGGCGTGACTCGACAAGGCTAGTCAAGGGGGTCCCGAGAAAAAGCTAAGAGCCGATAACTGCGTGAGGTATCAGAACCACACGGGGGGCTGTGCAGCTTCTAGGCGAAGAAGGCGATCCTCTAGGTGTAGAAGCTCTCTACGCAACAAGGCATGGGGATTTGCCTCTTCCCACCTGTTCGCCGGGACCTGAAAGGTACGCAGGGCCTGAAGATGTGCATTATAAGGCAGTATTGCAATACGCTTGAGGCTATTGATTTGGGAGGGCATGGGCCCCAAGGCTTCCCTAAGGCTTGACAGCTCCGCTTCTGTGCGAATGCGATAGGCCAGAAAGTCGGCTGCGATGCTGTCGAGCTCATGCCTGAGGTCGGCGTAGGCCTGCTGGGCGAAGGTCAGGCTGGTGCGTATTTGCTGCAGTTGGGCAGAGACTGCTTGCAGTTCCAGGCGTCTGGATTCCTCTGCCTGCATCAGAGTGCGGCCCATTGCGTCTTGGCAGGCCAGGTGGTTGTGCATATACACGAGCAGGGACCTTATGTGCACCAGGTCGTGAGGCTCGTTGGGCTTTGAAGGCATGAAGTCATTGGCTGTAGAAGGCATGTCAGAAGCTCCAAGAGGAGTGTCACGCTTAGCTTCAGAGGGGGGCCCAGCGGGACCCATAGGCGTGTCACTTGCAGAAGCTGAGTTGAAAGCTCCAAGAGGAGTAGATCTCGTAGCTCCAGGATGGGGCTCAGTGGGGCCCATGTGTGCATCCGTTGTAGTAGGCAAATCGGAGGCTCCAAGAGGAGTGTGCATCGCTGGCTCAGGCGTGCTGATCTGTGCAGAAGTGGGCGCTGTGCGAGTCCTGAAGCGAACCGGCGGGGTGGTATCCTCTGGGCCTGGCTCGTAGCCAGGGCAAGGCGCGGCGTAGTCATCTTGGGCAGGTTGTGCAAACAGGGCCAGTCTGTTCAAGTGCAAGTAGACCCAAGTCATCCCACTCGAGGACGTAGTCGTGGCGTCCGCTATCTGAAGAGCTGCGAACTTCTGTGCGGATGGGCATGCTCGCACGGTAGGCCATGGCTGGACGTGCAAGCTGCAAAAACACCAGACTTACGAGGCAAGCTGCGATAGAGGTCTTTGAAGGTTTGGATGGCCATTCTGCTGAGATGTTCGGTCGGCAGAGCGCACACGCTGTTCAGGTCTGCGGTCTTAAGGTCGCTTCGGGTTTTTTGGTTTCCGTGTGTTTTCCCACGAGTGAATCATGCACCGTAATTTGCCATACGCCTAAACAAGCCTTGCACAGCTGGAGCATCTCCGGCTCTCAGCTGGCCTTAACCTAACCCCTAGGTGGGGCCTTCTGCTTTTCGGTCAAGGCCTTCTACGCTCTTAGTCTTTTCTAGAGCTTTGGAAATCACCGTCTTCACAACTCTCGCTGACACAGCCAAGTAATCGAATGAAGGCTTCGTATGCTGTGCACACCTTGACAGGGTCTGTTTCTCGGTAGGCGGTACCAACACCCTGATAGTTAGTCCGAAGCATCTTCTTCACCTCATCGACTGTGGCCGAGTTGCAGACACGAGCTGCACGAGCAGACATGTGCACGACACAATTCCCAAGCAAGGCTAGCTGCAGGGTGCATGTGTCCTTTTACAAAATTAATCGAGCCAAAACGCGGTCCAACAAAATTCAAAACGAGCAATCAATATGCACGTGCTGCAAACAAACGAATAACAGGGCCGACCCGCCCCCCTCCCCCTATGGACAGGAGTGGCCTGCAATCCACGTCCTCGATTATCGTGCATATGGCCGGCCATTGCATGCTGCACACGATCTCGAGCCAATTGCATGGCTTCGATCGAAGCATGCATATATAATACATGTGTTATATCATGTGAAAAACACCTTAAATAGAGTATGCGAAAAACATGTTTTTGAGGCTTATTGTTTTAAGGGGTATACACTGAAACCATGGACTTTTCGTTTTGGGTGTTTTGGGGTTAAGCTCCTTTCAGGCATCTGGGGCATCGGCTCAGTGCTGTGTAGGTTCCAGTGATGGCAGAGCAGGCTGCGGATCCACGGCATGGTCGCGGAACAGCGGCTTTATTGTGGTTGGGTGACTATGGTCCGATGACAGGATGGCAGGCAGAAAATGGATCACGCGTTGCGGGTGCAGGGCAGCGGTGTCGGCCAGAACTTGTTTGACCACGGACAGCCAGCGGGTTGTCCAGGAAGCAGCAGCGGAACCAAGCAGACCGGGGGAGTAAATGCCCCAAGGCATTTCCGACTTAGTTGTCTTGGTGCGGATACAAATGCCCACCAGTGCACAAGAGGGCTTAAAAATGCAGGCGGGCCGGCGGGGTTCAAAGGAGGTCGCCCCAACGAAGGGAGGCCCAGATTGCGGCAAGCAAGACACCCAACATGAAAATCTCTGCAGGCGGCGTGTCCGGGCACAGAACGCGGGCCTCCAACCAAGCCGTAAATCTCAAGAAGAACGGAAGGCTCTCTCGGTGTTCGACTGGGGCAGACGGTGACAAGAAAGCACGGATAATAGCACTCTCCAGCTGGCGGCGTAACAGCAAGGCCAGCCTTTTTGGAAACCCAAGGAGAGGGCTTTGAAAGGCATGGTGGCTAGACCTTGGGTGCTGCAGCGAGCACGTAGCCAGTCGGGCAACACACCTGGCTGCGGGTCGTAAGTAGAGGATCTGCGGATTTCGCAGTACAGGCACCAGGCGGACCACATGTCCAGGTAACGTTGCAGAGTGGAAGGCGCAGTCATGACGACACGACAGATGAAAAACTCCGGATCAGAAGAGGCGGAAGCTTCCACAAACAGCGCAGACACCCCGGCCAGAATGGTGACACAGGACAGCCAGCGTGACTGCTTGCGGGGGTGCCAAGTGAAGGGAACCGGATACAATGGAAAAG